GCCTGTTGTTGACCGGTGTCTTGTATAAAATAGGTAGGAAGAGAGTTCCACTTATTTCTGAAGACAAAAAAGATCGGCCATTTGTTTTTGTCGCATATTTGCGTGGACGAGCTCACAGCTCACTTGTTGTTAAGTGGTTACCGGAGCCCATAGATACGTAAATACCGCCATCCACCTTGAGATTTGAGTTCTAAGGTCTCAGTACAGTTACTGGTGGTAGGATCTCTTGTGAGTCCGCACGGGTAGGTACCACCACCCTGCCTATGTCTGTCGTGAAGCAGTAATGCGTAATTGTTAATAGGCTGGGGAGAAGAGGGGAGGGTAGCTGAATAACAACAGCTGATCTGAAATACAAAATATTTTTAATCGTTTATAATTTTTTTAACAAATCATCACCTCCATGAAACCTATCGACAATGTCATATCACAATCGAAATTATGACATGCATCAATGCAATCAATTTAAAAGGGTTTTGTATATATTAATTAATTTCCAGTGCGGTCGGGTGCCGTCGGTATAAGTTTTATTTTGGCAATGTCGATTGCTCTTCAATGAAAATGGTAGCGGTATAATAATAATATTTATTGAACGATAATTCGATTCGGAAGCTTAATTTAATAAGTGCACTTATAATAGTCCTTTGTGATTTTATTGTTTATCGTATACTAGTGGTAGGACCTCTTGTGAGTCCGCGCGGGTAGGTACCACCACCCTGCCTATTTCTGCCGTGAAACAGTAATGCGTTTCGGTTTGAAGAGCGGGGCAGCCCTCGTAACTATACTGAGACCTTAGAACTTATATCTCAAGGTGGATGGCGCATTTACGTCGTAGATGTCTATGGGCTCCATTAGCCACTTAACACCAGGTGGGCTGTGATCTCGTCCACCCATCTAAGCAATAAAAAAAGATACAATCGTTATATACACATATGTGACATCAACCTTACTCCAAAGAGGGCGGTGGCTTCCACTAATCTAGGTATATACCTCCCACCACTTAGCACCAGGCGAGTTGTGAGCTTGTCACATAACATAAAATGAAAAGCCAATGCAACAACGAATAACTCCGTTTTATTACAACTTAACTTTTCTTAATTGCTCAGAGAGCTTCTTACTTTATGACCACGTAGATTTCAATTTAATTATCCGGTTGCAAAAATCCCGGTGGTTTACTCAATAGAAGTCTGCAGAGCTCACCTAAATTAGTTGGAACTTCGGACTGCAGTGTTAATTTAGTACGTTGCCGGTCATTTTTACAGTAACGCGAATAATTTATTCGTATGCTAGCGTCTGCCCGCGACTTGGTCCGCATAAAAAATAACTATAACAAACTGAAATTTCTACCAAATCCGTTCAACAAACTTTTTTTTATGATTGAAGGATTACTGGTAGCCCTGTGGCCTTTCCAGTTTTACCAGGATAGGTGGGCAAGCAAAGGCTCAACCAGGAGGGGTGGGATTTGCTAACAGCTGCCCGAGCGCCTACGAAGGAAACCCAACAGCTCAAGAGCAGTTGCTTCGCGAATGAATCTACTATCGGATCGGAATCGCGACCCGCTGAGAAGATCAGGCGAGAAACTCAGCGAGCTGATTCATGGGTTAGGTTGCACGTCGAACTCTTTGTCGAATTTGACGAATATTACGGTTGAACGAGAAAAAATTTCACATTTATAATATTAGAAGGATATTACAAAATAACAACAAAAAAGCAATTATTAACAAAACCTGAATATCTTTGAACTTTGTAACGAGGCAGAAAATAATCCATCTATGTTGTTCACATCGCATTTCATCGCAACGAAGGGGAGAATTTATTGCAACACAAATCTGTACAGCACATTGTAAGATCAATTATTTTGAGCTATTACCTGCTATTAGTTTTAGACAATTTGATACTCTCGAACAACCAATATACGGCTATTATCTATATACGTATATGTTTAAGCGTATATAAGATACATATATTTAGTCTAGCCATAAATACTGTTACAATTAAAAAGAAACAAAATATTACATTTGAATTTGGAATCTGTCATTTTTATATGATTGCTCATTGAGTTTTCTCATTTTGGCGCCAATACATTGTACAATATTTTGCGATATTAAAATGGAGTGGGGTGATAAAGAGAACCGAATCGCTGTGATTGCATTACACAAAGTAGGTATGGAGCTAAATGCAATTTTTTAAACTCTCCATACGCTTGGTATTAGTAAAATGTTTGTGTACCGGGCTATCAATAGGTGCAATGAGACCTCCTCTTTTTGTGACAGAAAAAGATCTGGCCGTCCACGTAGTGCTCGTACGAAAAAGGTGGTCAAAGCAGTAAGGGAAAGAATTCGAAGAAATCCTGTCCGAAAGCAAAAGATTTTATCTCGGGAGATGAAGATAGAACCATGTCGCGTATTTTAAAAGATGACTTAGGACTTGCAGCCTGTAAGAGACGTACTGTTCATTTCTTAACTGATAATTTAAAAGAGAATAGGGTGGTAAAATCGAAACAACTACTGAAGCGATACGCAAAGGGAAGTCATATAAAAATCTTGTTTACGGATGAGATTTTTTTTACAATTGAGCAACATTTTAACTATCAAAATGACCGTATTTATGCTCAAAGCTCTAAGAAAGCTTCCCAATTAGTAGACAGAGTGCAACGTGGGCACTATCCGACTTCAGTGATGGTTTGGTGGGGTATTAGCTATGAAGGAGTGACTGAGCCATACTTTTGTGAAAAAGGTATCAAAACATCGGCACAAGTGTATCAAGATACCATTCTTGAGAAGGTAGTGAAGCCCTTTAACAACACCATGTTCAATAATCAAGAATGGTCCTTCCAGCAAGACTCGTTGCCAGGTCATAAAGCTCGGTCTACGCAGTCTTGGTTGAAAACGAACGTTTCGGACTTCATCAGAGCTGAAGACTGGCTGTTAATCGGCTGGATTATGATTTATGGTCAGTTTTAGAGAGTACGGCTTGCTCTAAAAGCCATGATAATTTGGAGTCCCTAAAACAATCCGTACGATTGGCAGTGAAAAATTTTCCCATGGAAAGAGTGCGTGCTTTTATTGATAACTGGCCTCAACGTTTAAAGGACTGTATTGCAGTCAATGGAGACCACTTCGAATAAGCTCTTTATACTTTAAATTGTTTTATATTTATGTATTAAACTAACACACTGTAAAAGTAATAAATGTTATTTGCCATAGATTTTTTTTTGTTTTCCTTTGTAACAGTATTTATGGCCTTTATGGCCAGACTAAGTATATGTAGATAAGTCTGAGGGTCCCATAGTGCAGAGAATCCAAATTTATATTAATTTAAACTTATGCAATAATAATTAGACAATAATAATTTTATATTAAAACAATAATAAAATAAAACCACGCTATATTTATAAACACTGTCCCCTTCACACTCATTAGCTGCGCGAGAGAGAGATGGGCAGATTTTTCATGATGCGCATGCAGTGCGACGTCACGCCTTGCGCTTATTCACAAACACTACACAAGTGCAACGTGTGAATGTGTTGAACGCGAGCTACATGGTAGGTGCAGTGGGGGCACCCAGCGTTAAAAAAAAAAAAAAAAAAAGGGGGAGTGGGGGGCGTCAGGTTTTATTTTTGTTACGGAACTTCTTGATTCGGTCGCGCGCTCAAAGCCCGCGGTAAAAGCGCAATATGCAATAGCTTAAAAAACATGAATCCTGCCACTTCCAGAGCTTAGCTTTGGGATTTATTAATAGACATTGTCAACAATTATTCTTCAAATAAATTGTCATCTGTAAAGTAACAGAGTCGTTTTTAACGTTATTAGGTACATAAAACACGAAACACGTAGGGGCAACTAAATTTCCTTAAAATACAGAAGCTTTAAGAGTTATTTTACTCTTCTCTTTTAACTAAATCATGGTAACGAAACCATAGTAGAATCTAAATGGACGCTATCGCCATCTAGTAATAATATTGGAACTAAAATCATAATAATTCTGCTAAATTAAAACCCAATAACATTATAATTAACTAATTGAATATTATCAAACGGGAACGCATTACCGGAATTATATATATATATTTTTTAAATCTCTTATCCTATTCGTTGGTATCCTAAAGAATTATCCCCGCTAAGCCCAGACGCGGTTATAGTGCATTCTATGGTTAAAGCGGTATCCGCCCACTGAGTTTCTCGCCGGATCTCTCAGTGAGTTGCGTTTCCGATCCGGTGGTAGATGCTGCGAAGCACTTCTGTTGCCAGTAGGCTAGTGTTACAAAGTCCTGAGGTTAGGGCCCCGTGAATTCACCTACTCGCTCGGTTTAGCTGGATAGCCTTCTAAGGCTACCTACCAGCTTGGTAGGAAAAAAAAGCAGTATCATTTATTGATAAAGGTCAAAACTAAAGTTTTTGTTAAAATAACATCGAAGTTTAACTATTCTTTCAAACGAAACACACGATCGGAATAAAAAGTGTCCTATATGCTAATCCAAGAAATTGTCCATCTCTGTGCCGATTTTCATTCAAATCTGTTCAACGATTCACGTGTGATTGAGCATCAAACATACACACATCTAAATTCTAAATATTTTCACATTTATGACCGTAGTAAAATAGGATACTGACAATGCAATATTTCAGTGATACTTCAAATACTTTTCAATATCTTCATAAAGAAAAGGTTTTCATGTTTCGGAATAGGGCTGTAACATTGTAATTATTAGTATTTTTTAATTTTTTATCGCTTTTTCATTTTTATTTTCCGATCTCCGCATAAATATATTCCAGAATCTAATTAAAAAATGTTTTAGTACGAAATGTTAATATTAACGAGACCAATGAAAAAGCAAAAGCCGAATGTATTGAATAAACAAGTAGCTTCTGACATACGACAAATATCCTCCAAGAACTAGAATTCCAACTCTCCGAATGTAATATCGATTTATACAATTGAATAATTGTAAACTTACAAAAACTTGAATAAAATGGCGTTTGTAATGCACCGTTTGACCTCAGACACATGGGAACCGAAGCAGCCGGCGAATCAAAAGCATTCTTGAACGATAAACCAATCAATAAACGCATCAAAGACGAGCAAATAAACACGCTATCAAACAAACACATAAAAAGCGAAATGTAGATTAAAAAACTTAATACTAATGACGTAATACAATAATTCGAATGTGATCTAAGATTAATAGAACTGTATGAAATTATGCGTCCAAATTAAATTTAAGTAATTTTAGTATAGCGATCGGATGTTAGGATTGTGATGAGTAGAGAAAAGAACGCATCCGGTTGAGGTTGGGTCGATTTGCGTTCGCTCGGGTTGCAGTCTGTTCGTCTGGACGCGCTGGTCGGTTGCTATGGGACAGTGAGCTCGGGATAACACTATGGCGGCAGTTGCGGGCCTGTACGGGCTTGGGGACGAGCAGAGGGCGCGACACCGCCGGGGACAGGCCAACGCCGAGCGCTCCGAGTCCAGAGATGACAACACTGAGGCGTGAGTATCCTTCAACTTTTAACTGCACTCGTCCATTTTCAGGTATCACGAATACATCATTACGTATTAGTGAAAACCGCTTCGCTGCGATTTGATAAGTCTACGAAATATTCCCATTTGAAACTACGCGCGTCACGTATCGTTCTTTTGAAACTAAATTGTAAACCTTCACTAGAACTACTACTAACGGCTTATGAGCTCATGAAATACAAATAAAACCAAATAATGTGATTGATGCGTGTTTATTATCTTGGTATGTATGTATGTTTCATAGACGTGAAAATTTACACACGTATCAAGGACCGACAGCAATATAATAATTTTATAATTTCGCTCTAATATCTTGACCAGTATAAACAGGACAAAAGAAAGATTAAAACAATTATTAGTTCAGTTAGCTTATCTGTGCTTATTTGATTTCAATTTTTTTAATTTTTTTTATATTTTATTTCTTAGATTGATGGACGAGCTCACAGCCCACCTGATGTTAAGTGGTTACTGAAGCCCATAGGCATCTAGAACGTAAATGCGCCAACCACCTCGAGATATAAGTTCTAAGGTCTCTCAGTATAGTTACAACGGCTACCCCGCCCTTCGAACCGAAACGCATTACTGCTTCACGGCGGAAATAGGCGGGGTGGTGGTACCTACCCGGGCGGACTCCCAAGAGGTCCTACCACCAGTGATTACGCATTTGTTTAGGTTAATTTTGATCCAAACCAAGTCCTAGTCATCCACCCACCCAATCCACTGTTAATAACGTTAATTGTATGAGTTATAGCGATTTGCAGTAGCTACTCGCGCGGCACTCAATGCAATTAATTGCGCAAGTGCCCGCAATAAGTTGACAACGTTTGGTCTCGGTATAACGGCACGTAAGATACAAACATACCCTATTATTTTTTATATTTTGTTCGCCCAACGATCGAATTTTAATTATCACTGACACTACAAGCCTTAGATTCCTTTTGTACATTAAGTTTTATGATATTGACTGTTTTTTTTATTTATATATCACACTTAACTTTGCTTCTAAAAATATAAAAGAGAATTGGTTAACATATTGAGAATAACTGTAACGAGGTACTTAACTGTTTTGTAGTTTTGATTATTTAAACAATAAAATGTCATTATAATAAAATAAATTATAATAAAATGCCATTATAATAAACCCCTGGCTAGATGATGCCATGACCTCCACACGGTGACCGGCAAGAAGTGGATGAGTAGAGCCGCAGACCGGGCTCAGTGGGGTAGATTGGGAGAGGCCTATGTCCAGCAGTGGACGACTGTGGGCTGTTGATGATGATGATGATGATGATGATGATAATAAAAATTAACTCTATTGGCCCTTCTGGACTTGTAGTTAATCGACCTTGTATCAATACTATATCTAAAATAAAACCATTCGCCAGCCATAAGACTTCAGACTTACGTGAACTAGTCTGCCCTGATATATTACTTAATTTATTTAAGAAGTACCTGAGATTTTCAAAACAAACAGTTTTTTTTTTTCATAATTGAATTAATTCACTATATATCTTACCGTAAAATTTTTAGTAACCAATATTGGTAGGTAGATCATGACTACCTATGGCTGGTCTATTCGAGACAAGAGATCAAAATCTCAGTTGATCTAGAATAGCCTTAATAGATATAGCAATAAATTTATTTACGTTCTAAATCAATTGCCGGTCTCACGTATAAAATATCTTCTGTTGTGCTTAATTTCGTTACATGTCATTAGATGGGGACGGAAATGCTTTGCTGTTGTTCGGATATTAAGTGGTCGCTAATGGACCTAGTTTAAGTTAGGAAGTTTTGTGAAGCTAGCTAAAACATCGAGCGAGGAAAGTTATCTGTGCATTTTGCGTTATGTGAGCCCCTATACCAGGTTAAAGGATATGATGATAATTTTTTTTTTTTAATTTCACGCATAGAAATATTTTGAAGGGCGGGGCAGCCGTTGTACAGCTAAAAGTGAGACCTTACGACTCATATCTCAAGGTGGGTGGCGCCATTTACGTTGTAGATGTCTATGGACTCCGGTAACCACTTATCACCAGGTGGGCCGTGAGATCGTCCAACAATCTAAGTAATAAAAAAAATTCGTCGTCTTCATCATGATGTAGTGTCGGACTGGAATAGCATTTTTTTCAAGCAAGGGTCGAACCTCCTACGAGGTCCCCACATCTAGGGGGCGCGCGGGATATGTGGGACTTGACGATCTGCAAGGTGTTGGGAGCAGACCGCGGGCCCAAGAAATTTTAGGGCCCTACCCACTAAACGACTCCCCTGCACTCTTTCACCCGACGTCCGATCTCCGTCCGGGGTCAGAACCCGGTCAGAGTAGGGGGGTCCCCGCGGTCAACACTACAACCTGACACGCGGCGCCACCCCGAAGACCGCAGACCGCGTCGCAGTCCGCAGCCGCCGACGCGTCGTCCCGTCCTCCTGGTGCCAGCGCGCTAGAATGACGGTAGCGTGCGGTGCAGCCTCAACCCCCTCAGGTCGCCCCGTGACCATCACCGGGAGAAGACTGCCTCCTCATAAGGATAGGAATAGCATGACCCAACTCTTCCCGTGGGTGCAACTGCGCTCTGAGTACCAGCGGTATCAAAGTGGGTGTACCAGAATGCTGAGGTCGCCAACTAGTATTGGTAATAAACGCATGGGCAATAGCAACCTGCCTTTTCCTCTTGGAGCTAGGCGTTCCGGTTCGAAACACATTGAGTAAGTCCAAAGAAGGCCGATCCCTGACAGCGTTGTAATTACTTTTATTTTGTCGTGTGTAACTTCACTACTGATAATTAGATTCATTAATCACTAAAAACAACTTTTATGCATGAAGGAGGATTTTTGTGTAAAATTTTCATTTTAGGATAAATGATTTATATTAATCAACGGTCGACGCTCCATATTTTACTATCAATTAAAGGATGGAATTGAATTTTTGTTCACAATTCGTAAAATAAGCTAAGTAGACGCTTAAATACGTGACCGCAAATTGATTCCCAATAACAAGGTATATGTGTCACTCTCTAACTTGACGGTTGCTCTGTAAATGAAAGAGACGGAAGCAACTGTATTGTTCACTCTTGTGGAAAGGGCGAGATTTATTGTGCATCCAAAAAAAGGTATGCCATTTATTCATGGACTGTCTTTAACGAATTTGTTCGTTTTAATTTGGTGAATTTGTCAACGCTTGGTCTTGAAATCGGCTTAGGTTAACAGCGCGAGGTCAGAGATCGAAGATGAAAGGTTTTTTTTTTTTTATCGTTTTGTAGACAGACGAGCATACGGCCCACCTGATGGTGAGTGGTTACCGTCGCCCATGGACTTCAGCAATGCCAAGGGCAGAGCCAAGCCGCTGCCTACCGCCGTCTCAATAATACAGCCATCATGCTTGCTGGGGGTAGGACGTCTTATGAGTCGGCACGAGTAGGTAACACCACGCTGCCTATTTCTGCCTCAAAGCAGTAATGCGTCTCGGTTTGTAGAGCGCGTCAGTCGTTGTATGATACTATAGAGCTGAAACTTAGAAGTCACGTATCAATGTGGATGGCGTTAACATTATTGTTGTCTAACCGATAACCCCTGATAAATGATTGACCGCGAGCATATTCACCAGACTAAGCAGTAAAACATACAGACAGACGCGCAATAATCAATCGTGACATAAATACGTAACACAGCGATACGTCCCACAATCAGTTTAGTTATTAGACTGTCGGAATCGCATTTACTTCTACTGACGAACAGCGAGATAATTGAGTATAAGATTAAATCTTAACAATATGAAAATATGAACCAAATTAGCGTGCATGAAATTTAATATTTACAACAAAATAATACTATCAATTTTAATTGAATATCTATATATTAATACGTGAAGCAACAACTTTGTATCCCTTTTTACGAAAATTGCGCGGACCGAGGAGTATGCAATTTTCCACACTTATAGAGAACTAGCGACCCGCCCTCGCTTCGCTTCGGAAACATTTAAACACACATGAAACCAAAAAAATTAAAAAAAAATAAAAAAAAGTAGCCTATGTTCATCAGGGACAATGTCGGCTTCTAATGGAAAAATAATTTTTCAAATCGGTCCAGTAGTTTCGGAGCCTATTCGAAACAAACAAACAAACAAATCTTTCCTCTTTATAATATTAGTATAGATATAGAGAAGAAGTGCACAATGCTAATATTTTTTTTAAATAATGCATAAAAGATACATTAAATCGATAAAGAAAACATTACACACACTACATACCATGTATTTGACGCACACACGCATGCATAATGCATACTATTTATTGCCAAGCTTTTGTTCTTGACGTCTGTTGTCAAATTGAGAAGAGATTCAATATTATTTGTCTTTGTGAATATTTTTTATAATGAAGTCTTGGCGAAATTCGTGATTATAGAAGTATAAAATACAATCATAATAGTGTACAAACTTACTCTTAACTTGCTTACTAACTAACTTAACATTCTATAATTCAAAAATATTTTCACTTTCTACGTAAATAAAGTGGGGGCAAAATTTATCGTTATGCCAATGTAACTATTCCACGCGGACGGAGTCACGGGCAAAAGCTAGTTAATTCATAAGATTTAACGTGCGAGAAAATGAGATAGGAAGCATTATACAGTGTTTCTTATATTTGTAGTTCTCTTTATGCTCTGCTTCGTACCTAATACTCGTACTTAATACATTCTGAATAAATCTATGAAATAAATAAGAATAAAATGTAAAATAACTATCAAACTTTGTATCACTATAATTATTACTAAACTTACAATTATCTACTTCCCGAAACTTTACAAACGTCTCATTATCTTAAAGCCAAAATTTTTGAAGGTTTCACCTCTACCCCGTGTGAATTGCACACAGTTTTTTTACTTAATTATTAAGCACACAATACACATTACAAGCTAAAAAAGATACACAATAAAGAACAACAAGTAAATAAATCTGACTTGTAACATAAGCCATG